CGTGTTCTTTAAGGCAGCGTAGTTTTACGTATTTTATCAATATTTTCTATCCGTAACAGTTGGATTTCATTATTCAACGTAAAAGCGACCACACCACTGGGTCACACCACTGACTGACTGTCAACTCCCGGTTCTAAATTTAAATGTAATGAAATTTTATTTGTAACATACATTAAAATTCAACTACAAAAAGATAAACGTACTTTCGGAGATACAGACTATTAGACTGCCTGCAATAAATAATGCATATGTCCCTTGAAAATCTTCATCTAATACGTTGCACGCCGTTGATAAGCATTTTATGTTCAAAATTCTACTCTAAAAATCTTTGATTGCAAAAATATGTTTTGAAAATATTTTATTAAAAAATGTAATTAAATAGATAATATTTACTAATTTATAAATTGATATGTTAGTGGGCTTTTATTTTGTGGAACGTGGAAAGTTGCGTCTGATGTATGCATGGTCGATGCCAAATGTCTATATTCAGATATTCATTTCATTCAATTCATTTATACATTTAGCGGTATTTGGGATTGATGCTTGTTCTGAATCAAGGATTCTTAGCCAAATTCTCTCCATTGTTATTGGATCATTAAAGAAGCATTTGGTTTGGCATTATTATGATTGAAGGCGCATCGCATTAACCGTTAACGAAAGGGAGTGTTTTCCACATTTTGCCGCGTGCAAGAGCCGCATGACATAATTTTCTTTCAGCTACACCCATTCTAAAGCGTCGCCTTATCTCGGAAGGAAGATATCATTTCAACTGTCAGAATTTCAACCAATGCGACAAAATCCCGAAATTTTAATTCCCTTAAATCCTTAACAAAAACAACGAAAAATTGACAATAGGGTTTACTTTTACGCAGTTTTAGAATTTTTTGTTAGTATGCTGGTCTCTTTCGTACAAATTGGTTATGTCTTATAGAAGTGCCATTTAACAAGTCATCATTCGGTCACTTTTTTTTTGCGAAAGTAACGCTTGTTGATGATTTTTGATTATTGTGTAAAGCGCGGTGTGCTCGCTTGGCTTGCAAGTGCTTTTATTTGTCGTTCGATATTTGTTTTTTTTGTAATCTAGGCGCTTTCAAAGCCGCCATTTTTCAAAGGAAAGAATACAAAACATTTTCATTTTGCAAAAATTGTAAGCTGTTTGAAGCGTTTACAAAACCTACGGAAGGAACTTAATTGCATTAACGAAACGGATTGTATGTACGAATCGATAAACAGGAAAAATCATTAACGTTGCTGCATCATGTTGTCAGTATTACAAAATTGGTGGATAAATTCTGCGGAAAAAAGAAGGGATAAACTGATAGAGAAATATGAGCAGGAAGAGGCGTATTTAGATAAAGAAATTGCTAGGGAAACCATTGAAATTGATCGCCAGACAACAACATCTTGTATGCAAAATCTTATTGGAGGTGTTCCAACTTCACTTCATTCCAATAACAGTGATGCACAAAAAAAAAGCGATTGTTTTAAACGCACCGGTAAAATATATGATATATAGATACAATAGAGAGTTCGTTTTATAAAGTTCCTCTCTTTGCAATCTAGGAATCATCACCAGTCTGAACAGCAATCATGCAACCATAGATAAGAGTATACTTTTTGAAATCAATACCTTGTCCATTCCTGGCGAAATGAGAATAGGCTCTCGCGTCGAATATTTAGGTTACAAGGATGAAACTACGGAGGAGATTAAAATTGTTAAAATTGATCTCATCGTTGAAGATTCCTGGGATGAAGGGCCGCCCAGTGAAGAGAAAGTCGGTTTGAATTTTTGAATAAGAAGTGTTGAAGTGAAATGTAATTTTACCAATTTTAGTAGATTCAAGAAGAGATAAATGGCCTGAAAAATGAAAAACCTACTTATTTTAACATAGTTCAGCGTAATATTTTGGGCGTAATAACTGAATGCAAGCCTGATTCGATTCTCATTGATACCGACTACAAGACAATGAATGTTCGTTTCGATTCCGTAAAGATTCACTTTAGTCCCAAGGCAGGCGATAGAGTTAGTATTTGCTGTAATGTCCAAAGTGATGACGGTTTCGTCGATAAACATGGCGAGATTTTAGACCAAATCAGTGTGGACCCAGCCCTAATTTTTACTCAGCAAAGGTGTACGGTTGATCGGATCTTCTCGGATTTGGGCGTTCTCAACGAAAAAGCGTATTTCACATTCGACATACTACCAAGCGGCTGTAAATTAAATGAGGGTGACATTGTGAACGCGGATTTAATAGAATGCTACTGGGTCTGCTTTGCAAACCAAAGTCATGGCAATTTATTTATTTTAATTTTTGAATTTAATTGCTTTGTAGGGTCAATACGAATGGCGTTGCATTAAGTTGTCGTTGATAGAGCAAGCTGGTCAACCGTCGTCAAAACTACGTTCGCCACCCGACTCCCGATCAGAAAACCGTGCTGTTGATGTCAGCCCTAATATTACTACCGTTTTTAGTTCGACCTTCCAAAAGCGTGAACTGGAATTTTCTTGCACTAACAATTATGATCGAATTTTCCGCATACTATCTATTGAATTTATTTCACGTAGGCGGAGAGGTCTGTTGCGCTTAGTTGATGGTGAACTGGCGAATGGATTTGATCTTGGACCTAACGAGAAGCGTTTGCTGAGATTTGAGGTTGAGCCTCAAGCGTATGGTGACTTTTATGAACAATTTGTTATAAAATTTGAAAATTTTCGCGTTAAACGCTGCGTTAACATTGTTGTTTGCGAAAATGAGAAGCAAGCTGAAGCTGTAAGACAAAGTTTGAGCAAAGCAGATCACAATGGCAAAATATCATATAATGATAGGAACATGTCACAAACATCCCGTTTCTACGCTAGTCAGGTAAGATATGAATAATAACTTGTAGTTTCATTCATAAAGAGCAGTGAGTCCTCTCCAGATATGGTCCAAACACACAGAGTGTACACCAGGTATGCGTATGCAACCCAAACGTCGCTTTGTAGCCACTCGTATCGGAAGCTTTGATGTACCCGAACGATTAAAACGGGCGTATCTTACTTCGAGTTGCAAGAAGGACATGTTCGAAAACATTGAATATATGTTCCCGAGTTTTAAAGAAGAATTAAACATAAGTAACTACGTGAGTCGCTTTCAAACACTCTTATATTTAGAAGAGATTGAGTGTTTTGTCAATTTTCGCATGTATGACCGTGAACGAGCGCATTTCACACGTGAGAAAGAATATTTAGCTCTGACCATAGAAAATCTTTCCGAACGCCGTCCATCGTTGGTAATTGGAGACATTGTTAAAGCCGAAAATCCCTGGGCTGACGGCAAAAATGCCAAACGCATGTATGAAGGAGTGATTCACAAAGTACTTTTCAATCGCATTCTGCTTAAATTCGATGCTAACTTTCAGCAAAAGTATAATGGCGAAGATTATCGTTTAGAATTTTACTTCTCCCGGTATGGCTACCGGAAACAGCACCACGCCGTCTTACGAGCGGTTAAGAATTTAGGCGAACAGTTCTTGTTTCCATCCGGAGCACAGACGCGTGGATGCCCACAATTGGATATAGAGCTAGACGATGAGGAAAACCTCTTGTTAGGCAGCTCCCAGTGTAAATGGCACAATTGCATACTGAACTCTATACAGAAAAAAGCCATAGCAAATATACTACGAGGAGAAGTTTACAACATGCCATACGTGATTTTCGGACCACCCGGCACAGGAAAAACTGTAACGCTAGTGGAGAGCATTTTGCAAATTTTTAAACTGATACCCAGTGCACGTCTACTTGTAGGCACACCTTCCAATAGTTCTGCTGATTTAATAACGACGCGTTTGATCGAATCCGATGTACTCAAAATGGGTGAGTTTATACGTCTAGTGTCCCAGAATCAAGTCGAAAAAGAACTTATACCAGAGCATTTGATGCCGTATTGCGCAACAGCGGATATTGGCATAGATGACACCTGTAAAGATGATATGATTGTGACTGAGTCCGGACTCAAACTAAAATGTCAAATGAAATATTTAGGGCGCCATCGAGTAACGATTGGTACTTGTGCTACCCTAGGGACTTTTTTGCAAATGGGTTTTCCACCCAATCATTTTACGCATGTGCTAATTGATGAAGCCGGCCAGTGCACAGAAACTGAAATTATGGTTGCTGTTGCTCAAGTATCAAAAGAGCGTGGCCAGGTTATTCTTGCTGGAGATCCCCATCAATTGCAAGCAGTCGTTATAAACAGATATGCTCGTGAACGCGGTTTTTCGCTATCATTTTTGGAGAGAATTCTTTCGCGTGCTCCATACTTAAGAAACGTTGATAGTTTTCCCCTTACATGTGGTTTCGACCCTCGCCTGGTTACAAAATTACTCTACAATTACCGGGCGTTGCCCTCCATATTGAATGTTTATAATGAACTGTTCTATAATGCGGAACTGGTACCAATGATAAGAGAAGAGAATTCTATGGAAGCTAAAATGCTGAAGCAACTTGACGATTTACTTCCGCAATCATCAAATCGACCCAAAGCACATGGCATATTCTTCTGCGGAATACAAAGTGAAAATATGCAGGAAAAAGACTCGCCGTCGTGGTATAATCCTTACGAAGCGAAGAATGTAAGTTGTCTTTAATTTAAAAGTACTATCCCTTCTATCTAATATTTCGTAACATTTATTTCATTTTTCAAGGTCTTTCTAATGACAATCAAATTGTATCGTAATAACATTAAAGCTGAATCCATTGGCATCATAACTCCGTACATGAAACAGGTTAAACATTTGCGAAAACTTTTTGTTGATGCCGACGTAGCGATGCCTAAAATTGGTTCTGTGGAGGAATTCCAAGGACAGGTATAACTTTCGTAAAATTACACTAATGTTGGAATTAACACAAGTGTTGCTTTCGCTTGGTTTTTTTTAGGAACGCGATATAATATTAATTTCAACAGTGAGATCAAGCAAGGAGCATATACCTAGCGATGTGCGCCATGCATTAGGTTTCATTCAAAACGAGAAACGGATTAACGTGGCGATATCTCGACCTCGTTGCCTTCTTATAATATATGGCAACCCCTATTTACTCCTTTTGGATTCTCGTTGGCGCACGATTATAAAGTACTGCGCCGATAATGATGCCTACCTCGGTTGTGATTTGCCGGCAGCATTGTCTGACCCATCAAAGCTAGCGGAAGGGACAGTTAACAATCAAGATAATTAAGCTACTTTTGGCCTCAATGTTCAGTCCTTAACATTAATTAATAAATAAAAGTAAGACTATTTTTTCATTTTCTCATAAAAGTTAATGTATTTTTCAAAACGTAAAACAATGAAATTTGAACAATTTTACTGGCACTGTAATGAGATCATTTTCCATGCAAACCACTATAAGTTTTTGAAGGTTTGAAGGCCATTGATAGGCATAACTGTGACTTTTACGCGGCCTCCGTTCGGCTCTATGTAGCCATCTGTGGACTTCATTTGTAAAAAATTGCGATGACTGCAGATCACTTCGTAATATTGGCGTGATTTGAAACCATTACGCATAATTATTGAACCAACACACCTTACGCGTGACAAATCTAATTCAACCAACCTTGGAGTAACCTACCATGATTCTTTGCCAGTTAATTTTTCAAACCGATCTTGGTCCTTTTCAGCACTTTTGTGGCACAAATTAGTTTCTTCTATTGTAGAGGAAGAGACGGGATTGTCAACCAAATAAATTGATCGAAAAACAGTCGTATGATCGGCTTCCGAAAGAACCGTTGAATTTGTTTTCAAAGTGTCATTCATAAGATCATAGTTTACAGTGCCTTGCATTTCGATCACTCGAAAGCCGCAAAACATATTCACAAAGGAATCGGGATGATCATGCAACATCTTAAGTTCATATCTAGCGACTTCTCGAAGAAACGGGGAAAACATTTCCATAGTGTGAAGCGCTATGGTGGAACGTTCCTCTTGGGTCATTCGTTCAAATAGACGTAGAAACCTTGGGCGGCTTGCCTTCGCTCCATTAATTACACGCAAACTGGTTAAGGCCATCACACTGTCTATACTGGTTTTCTTCATGATTTTTCTGATGAGTTCACGCTTTGGGCGAAAGATTATGCGTACTTGGACTGTGTTGCCTGCCGCAATGATTAACTTCTCTGGATGTATTTCGAATGTATCGCTAAGGCTTGAAATAAGTAAACCAATCGTGTCCACTTTAACCGAAGCAAACGCCTCTAGTGGTCCTTTATTATAAATTGTAATACGTCGTTCCATCAGCCGGCCCAATTCGCTTAATCCACCCATTGGTAAAAAGAAACAACCGATGGGACCTTTTAACATATTGTAATAGACTTTGCAATACCTAATAAAAGAATAAATAAATAAATAGGCAAATAAATAAAAAAAAGAGGAGAGAGGTTTTTCTTGTCAAAAGAGAAAAAAGGAGGAATTTTTTTTCTTTTGAGAAAGGAACGAAAAAAACAGTTTTTTTTTGGGAACGGAATTTGAGTTTTTTTGGTGAAAAACTTGGAAATCCCTTTGAACGGGATTTTGACGAAGAAAATAATGGAAAATGTGGAATGTGAGAACATGTTTTAAAATTAGGAAAAAATAGGAAAAATGACGGAAACGTTTTTATGCAAAAGAAAGGAACTGAACAAAAAATTCAAAAAGGTGTAAATTTATTTAGCTAAATCGTCGGTCGGTTGCGGATTTTGTACGAGAGACATTTAAATAAAAACAAGCGAATACATTGAAAATAAAGAAACGTTAGCGAATAATGTTAAAAAAGGAAAAAATAAGAAGTGTTCTAACTTAAAAAAAAAAAACCGACAAACAAAGTCTTCGTACATTATTGAGAACTGTGACATACAGAAAGGAGACAAAAACTCAAAGCTAAAAAAAAATTAGCAAGCTAATGTAAAAGAAGGTGAAAAACACGAAAAGATCAATAATTTGTGTAAAAGAACGCTCCTCTTCACACCGTTTTACTTAACTTTGGTTTGCGCGTGCTATCCCTAAGATGACGAATCAATAGTTGACATTTTTTTTTGTGTTATAATTTTCTTAATAATATTCCAAAATTTTAAAATTTACAATTTGTTAAAATTCTTGTAGTTGCAGCGATGCGCATCGACGTAGTTGTTAGATTTGGCAAGTTTCTTATAATTTGTTAAATTAAAATAACCTAAACTTTCCCTTTATTTTGAATAACATTTTTTTCTTTTTAATTTATAATTCGGTATATCGATTGTTAATTATAAATAATTTTTAATATCCTATAAATTGTGATAGATTACTCCTTTTTTTATAAAAGAAAAAAACATAGCTGACCTTGAAATGAGTATCTTAAATTATAAATTAGATTAATTATATCTATCTATAAATTCTGTTTTGTTATAATTCTTTCTATTTCTTTCTTTGAAAAATAAAAAAAAAATAATGTATTATTATTAAAAATGTAAAAATACTGGTAAGACTTCCTGGGGGTGACTGAGAGGCGAGGGAAAATTAGTATGGATAGGGCTTAGAGTTGTATTTATCCTGGAAAAATTTCAAAACTAAAAGTAAGCACATTATTTATAAAATAATGAAATAATTGTAGCGAAACATAAAATTACGATGAGTCTGCTAAAATTTTATTTTTATCCTACCCATCCGACGAGCCAGGCCGGAAACCATGCGTTAGGTTCATGGCATTAATAAGATATATTAACCGATTACATCCGTGCAAAGGTTAGATATCTATATCTTCACAATCACAGAAGCATGTCCGCCGTAAGCATAAAAAGGGACGACAAGAAATGGAGGATTATCTACAATACTTTTGCATGAGGTGGTATAAAAAGAAAGTTTTCCAACTGCAACAACCCCTTTGGTAGGACAAAAGTTTACTGTTATTACTCGACTTTATTGCGAGTGCAAAATTATTGTGCTGTTGCCATGATCAGAAACAATTTGAAATCCTGGCCCGATAACTTCTATACGTAAACGCAGACGTTTATTCGATATATTCTTGATGTGCATAATTTTTTGACAGTTAGTACGTAACTTGGTGCTATTCCAGGATAATTGAGTTGCACTAGTTTTTATGGGCATCAGCTTACCATCACGATTAAATCCAGCATTAGCACTTGAACATCGTGAACTGCCTCGTGCAGAAGCCGACGTAACGCAAGAGGAACTACTGGATCTGTCACTGTTTCCAGGCGTTTTGTAACCGACTGCAAAACGATAATCGCGTACAAATTGCCGTCAATAAAATGCATCAAAAATTGCAAGAGCCGACAATACTCTCTACGGAGCAACCGCAAGAGATAAACTTTTCGAAATGTAAACAGCGTAAAGGTTGGAACGCGTCCCCTACACTTCCAAAAATCCCAATTTCTAAATGGGATCGTGACTGCTCAGTCAGTAGCCAGATAAGTACCTTGTTAGCTGCTCCACAATATCTGTGATAACTTAAAAAAAACGCCGTTTTAATCTTCTTTGCAGCATTTCTTTGATAAATTCATCTCATAACTTTTAATAGTTGATTATACTGAAAGTTATTTGAATTTAACTGTAAGATTTTTTACAATTAAGTTTTGGACAGATCGCATAAAAGGGAACATATGATAGGAATAGTCACATATTTAATACAATGAAATAAGACACTAGTCACAACAGAAATTCAATGAGAATAACTAACTATTAGCATAACCTGCAATCGCCAAAAGAAAATAATAAAATGCTGGCAGATATTCACGTAGCTGAAAGTTAATTTTGGCATTGATACCCAGCTGTTTAGTGAAAACGGCTGAAAATGAAAGCGAATCAAATCTTGTCATAGTTGTTTATACCCACGGGTTTTACCCGCTAACTCGACAATTGTGAATAATAAAAAAAAAAAAAAAAAATTACTAAACGAACAAGCAGTCATTTACACTAGAGTGGCATATTCTTAATCGCTTGGCAATACTTCTCAAACAGCTGTTTCTAGCGGTACTGTGAACTCCTTTGCGAAAGAAAAAGAATAGTTATTTAATGAAAGCTGACAACTTTTTGTAAATAATGCAAAACTCAAAAAAACTATTGCCAGTCACATTGTATTTACAACAACGTTTGGTTTATACTAGCTCTCCATTGCAAGGAAAAAGAAACTTTCGTAAATTTCTAACATACAACAAACGCGGCACAAGAGTAGTGAAGGAAGCTCAGCGTACGCAATTAAATCCTCCTGTAGCTGTACATAAAAGAGGTGTGCGTGATACCGGTGTCCTTATAAATGGAAAATATGTCGAAATACCTGAGAAGATACCCGAGCTGGTGGTACCCAATTTAGAAAATTGCAAGTTAAAACCCTATGTTTCTTATAAAGCGGCAGATGTAGTACAATCGGAATTCACAAGTTTAGACTTATTTAACGCTGTCTATGCTGAAAAAGTTTTAGAGGATTTTAGAAATGGAAAGCTAAAGGATGGCGGAAGTTCCCAAGAGCCTTCAGAAAATGAATTGTTAACACCAGAAGAAGCTTTGTTGAGAGCGCGTAAAACCGGTTCAGATATATTTTAGCTTTAAAACACATTAAATCCTTACTCAGTCATATACTTTTGACGATATAAAAACAATTTATGTATCCACTTATCTTGTTTTTGTTCGACGTCGCCAATAAACTAAAAATATATTGATTATGTTGTGGTTGATATGAATAAGAAGTTCTATTAATTACTTACATTCGGATGGAATATTTCATCTTCTGTGTAACAATTATTTGCAGAATCTGTTATCTTAGGAAATGTTACCGTTTCAGCGTTAAGATCAATTATCACTTTGTCACCAGAAGCACTAGGTTTCTCCGGTGCCTCGCGATCCCTAGTGCTGTAAAAAGTTTTCGGTGCAAATACATCTTCCTCAATGACTTCTAAAGCTTTTTGAACTTTAAAATCCATCAAGTCAATCCCTTTGGTAATAGACGCACTTGTGTTATTAGCGTTGACATTCGCTAAAGTACTACGTGAATTTGATTCCGAACTGGCAGCTCTCTTGCTACTACGTGAAATGGAGTTGGAGTGCTTAGAAGCGCGACTGCTTCGGCTTTCGCGAGAGGTATTAGACGAAGATGTTGATGTGCTACAGCTACGACTACGTCGTCGATGTTTGGATTTTTTTGAATGCTTCGACTTCTTAGATTTACTTTTGCGATGCCTAGAATAATAATCCCGATCATATTCACGATCCCGGTCATGGCTACTACGTTCTTTATCCCGACTGCTGCGCTCCCTTTCGCGCTCCCTATCGCGCTCCCTGTCTCTCTCTGTTCTACGTCTGGATCGTTGATAGCTAGAAGATCTCTCAGAATCACGCATTTCTTATTAAAATTCTATTTTGTTTTATGATATTTCACTTTTTTTTTCTTTTTAACTATTCACAATTTCAGGTTTTTTGGCAACTGTGTAAATTATGGCAATGCCTTCGTGTTAAATAAGAAGCTGTACATTTTGAAGATACACAACGATTTATTCGCTTGCCAAATGTGTTTTTTTCTCAATTCATTTTCTCATTTAACAGAATTGGTGTTACTGTCACCGTTTTAGCAGAAAGAATTTAGTAAACGCGACTCTGTTCTCTCTCTATTCTCAACACATGATATTTTTTCTAAAAACAGCTAACGGCTTTGCAAAAGGAAGTTTAAAAAAGTGAAAAATTGCGAAAAAAAGTAATTAAAAAGGTTGAAATTTGGAAGAAGGAGTTTGTTTTAACGTTGCGTACATATGTTGAATGAATCACAGATGTAGCTAGGATTTTTTAACTCTGTCCTCTCATAGACTGTTGTAACCGTTTTCTGTTTTTTATGATTTATTGCAATAAATTTTAGTATTAAATTGGATGAGATAATCACAAATAATTGGAATTGATTTTCCAAGTTGTTTAAATCTCTGTGACCTCAACTAAGATTTCAGTAAATAAGCGGATATCGATCATAATTGTATATTAACGTAATCTATTCCTGACGTCTGCTAGTCAAAAATGTTTATTAATTTACAAATCATGCAGAGTCACATAGTATCTCATCAAGTGTTTGTTAATTCATGAATCTACTCTGGAAATAAACTCTGAAAAAAGTTCTTCTTCTGCCTTTGCGAACAAAACTGCAAGTGAAAAAAAAACCACCTCGATTAACAGTGAGAGTAGCGGGCCTGAAAGATTCGCAGTCATATGAGAGTAATTAAATGACCGGGCCTCATAATTTGTTGCACATAGTTGAAAGTGAGCTTTTGTTTTTTTATTCAGTCGTTTTTGCGAAGAAGCTGAATACAGGAGCGAAAGGAAAGTTTTGCGTACTAGATCATCCCCCTGATTTACTGATTTCTTAAACACGGCAACATTTAGCCATAAATATTCTACGTATCACGTTAGTAATAGCTGTTGGCAGCACTATACAAGCTAGCCGCCATTTTTTTCTTGTAAAGAAAACTTTTTCATTGAAAAATATTAGTGTAGTGAAAAGTAATTATAGGAAAATTTGGAAAATTGTTAAAATTAGCTTATTATTAGTGCTAAATATAGCGAAGTGAATGTGAACTGTAAGAATAATGAAAATTTCCAAAAGCAATATTAGTTTGGAGCTAGAATGCGTGGTAGAAGAGCTGTCGGCAGCGCAATTAGCCGCTTATGAGAGAGTTGCCAATGAACACAATGCCATAAAAAATGCGCTAAAAACTGCTTTGAGTATTAATGAGGGCAAGGAATTGTTTAATGGTCAGGTTTTCCAAGCCTATTCATTTAAAGGTAAGGTGTTGCAGGAGCTGAAAGAAGCTACCGTGCCGAAACGAAAGTCCGAGACTCCCAACGATAAAGGTCCCACTCGTAGCGGCCGTAAAAGAGCGCCAAATTTTGTGTATCTTGAAACCTCGGACGAAGAAGAGGACGATGTTCCGTTAGCCAAACGTATAGCTGCAGGAGCTGGTAAATTGAAGCCAGTTGATGCAACGCCAAGTAAAGGTAAAAAAGGCGCCGCTGCGGAAACACCAAGTGGAAAGGCTTCTCCACAGGTGAGTAAAGCGAAGGCCTCGAAAGATGCAAAATCGTCTAAAGGTGGCAAAGCGGCTGTAGAGCCACCCACTTCAGCGTCAACAACCAACTTTCGGCCTTCTGAAGATAGTTCAGTGGGCGGTTTGCTGATTGGCTCGGACAACAAAGACGGCAAGGGATCTAAGGAAAATAAGGAGACAAAGTTGCAAGGCAAAACATTTCCTTCCTTGGTGGTTTTGGCTAAACCGTGGCTTAAGGTCAAAGACATGTCTGCTACACGTAATAAATTGGATTCTAAGGTTAAATTAGTCTTGATGTTGACCCCTAACAAGTTTACTGAATGGTTAATACAAGAAGGTCTATTGAAGGCTGAACAAAAATGCGCTAATCACAAAACTTCCGAACTAAAATTAGGTAAGTATGGAGAAGAAGTAATAAAAACTTTTTTAATTTTATAATATTTAGGTGTCTACTCGGACGCGTCTAAATTTCCTTATACCGGGGGTTATGTCTGGATTAGTGAATGTTGTCCTACTCGCTTCGTTTCGGTATTTCACGGGTCGATTTTTGAAGGAGCTCCTCATCCACCTTCGTGTATTCTAAAATTGATATATCACTGGGCTTGCCAAACTAATATACAAAATGTGGTACAATGGGTAAAAGTTGATAACATTTACATCAAAGGAGTCTACACTTGGCTGAGGGCTGTATGCACTTTAGCGGTTCATCAAAAGTGGAAAAAAATTGGTGGTCCTGACAAGTATGTAGAAGTTGGGGTGATATCATTTGGTACAACATCACAGGATGGATCGCAACGTCAATTAAAAGTCGAAGTGCTGGGAGTTTTAGATTACGCAGAGAAGACGATACGTTTGCGTGCTGTAGAACCACTAACTGACAATGATCGCAATTACAAAAAACGTTTTCAAGTAATTTTGGAACCATTAACTCGTTGGGTGAATAAAGACAGCACTATTTGCATTGATTTGACGGTAGACAAAGCGACTTTATATTCCATGGGATTTAAAAACGTCTTGCAAGCTTCCGTGGCTGATAATAACGCTAAACACACAAATGCCGCCTGTATGGATTATTTAAGACGTATCGTACCGAGAATGTTTCAGAATACTTTGTCTTTACTTTCCCGGCAAATGATACAACAATTTTTGGATGAATTAGTATGGCGCGAACAATTCGGAACTTATGCTTTGCAGGCGTTTAATAGCATCACCGCACATATTGCTGAACAAACACGTTTAAATACCAGCGAATCGCTGACTCAACGGTTATATCATGTGAGTTGAAGAAATATTTTCTCAATTTTTTAAATAAAATTTCTCTGTTATTGTTTTTTCATTATTACAGGTGGCTACCAACCCTTTTAAAGACTGGAGTATTGTACCAGCAAATGTTAGAGAAACGCCACCAAATACAACACCTAAACGCTTGAAAAAACGTTAGTAAATATAATTTAAATTACGTTGAGTTTAGAAAAAAAAGAGCATAAGAAATTGTTTGAAGAGCCTTTGCCGATCAGAATCTTTCATGTGTGACTAACAATTTCTACTGCCTTAAAATGTGATTTGTTAAATAATTGATAATTGTTAGATATTTTTTACATTGTTTTGCCCAGACTCAGGTTTATTATTGAATTTTATTTTCATTTCCTTGAATACTATCGGTTCCAATATCTTTTCCGGGGTAATTATGTTTTTCTTTTTATTTCAAATTTTAAAAGCGTTAACGTAGTATTTGATCCTTGTTCAATTAATTTTTCATTTTTACCTAAACTCTATGTAAATTGTGTTGAAAAATCGTTTTTTTTTTTTTTTTTTTTTTTCTTCAAACAAAAAGCATAATATATTATTTATTTTTAAATTTCTTTAATAAATGTCTAAAAACAAATAACAAAAAAAAAGGACTAAAACAATAAATTTCACTGAATTTTATAAACAAACTTTATTATTTAATTCATTGATTTTATTATACATGAAAAATTCCACGAAAAAAGTAAGCAAATATTTATTTTTTTTTAAATTTTCTATTTAATGTCTTTAAACCACTTTTGTATATTTAGTTCTAATTTATGTTTTCAACTACATATGTATATTATGCTTTTTGTTACCTTAGATAATAAAGAAAACATTGTTGTCAATACTTGTAATTAACAAACTTTTTAGAGTAGATTGTAATAAGTAGAGCGTAGCAAATAACACGTGTATGTAGTGTCGAACCGTAGTGCAAACATGCTTATAATTTTGTATTTATAAAATTAATTTAATGTAGCCAGCGTGAATGAATATGTAACAAATTGTCCTTAGAAGATACTCTCAGAGTTCTACTCACATTACTGGTTTATCGATTTGTTGGTGAAAGGTGTCGGCTACTTTATGAACAGTTCTATGCTTTGGCCATTTTTTCAAAACATATGCATAAATGTTATGCTCTTATTAACCACTGCTACGAAACATTCGATACAAGCTGGAAAATATCAGCTAGCAATAGAGAGAAGTAATCTGAAAAGTATCAGGTGACAGTATTGAGAAGTATAGTAGAAGGGAGAAAAAGCTTAAACTCATATGATGGCTGCACATCAAATTTGAAAATGGACGTGAGTGGCCAATCTCAGTAGACGTTACCTTAACGACCTCAAAGATCATCCGGTAGTTTAATTCAAATATTGTCTTGACCGGTCAACAAGCATATGCTCAGCTATAGCAATATAGATCTATGTTCCACAAAAGAAATGACCACAATTTCTTTCTGTTTGTTGAATTTAAAATTTGGTAAAATTAAAAAAAAAATTTTTATAAACATTACGTCGTGATTGTAGAAAGTTGGTCCTAGGAAATATTTGTCATCGATTTGGCATAAATTTTTGTTATAAATTTTGCTTGGGGACCTGTCATCTTTTTCCACTTTTCCTTGTTTTCAATAATCGCCGGCAATGTTTGTACGACTTCAAATTGTGCATATATTATGAAGATCTGGACTTTGTGTGTATTTTCAAGTGCTGCCGATGCAATGACAAATCTAACCATAATTTGGGTATGCTCTTGATCTTAAAAAAATTAATGAAAAGTTGGAACTACGTCCGTAGTTAGTAGTCTATTCTTCATTGATATGTTTAAAAGTAAGCATCGGAGACCATATAAATATAGTACAGTACACTACATATGGCACAGAGACCATAGAAAAAAAGGTCAAACTAGCTTCAGCTAAGTCAGCGTTTGGGTTCCAGATTGACAGGGTTTTCAATTGTAAGATTGACCTTACGGCTAAATAGACTGCTGGAAGATTTTAATAATTTTTAGGTTACAAAAAAAAAAAAAAATTGATAGTAATTTAAGAATTTAATAAGAACATTTACAAGAAAAACTTTGCACAGTTACAAAAAGGAGAGTGTTTGGATATCCATCAAATGGTTGTTCTAAATGATCGAATTTTTATTATTTATTTTTCTCTCCTTTGTACATTAGCCATCAATGAAGCCGATTATGTGAATATGGATAAAGTTCAGATAAAGAATATTAAAAAAGAAAAGGAAGAAGAGCCACCGGTTACCACTGCTACTAAAAAGCGTGTAGAAGAGCCGAAAAAATCGACGAGTTCCGCGAAAAGCGCGCCATCGAAGACTTCAAAAACTTCTACCGTTTCGGTTTCTTCGTCAAAAGCCAGTACGGCCAGTGCTAGCAAGAAAGCAGCTGTAGAAGCTAAAGTTGTTAAGAAAGAGAAAGAAGAGGAAGATCTTAAGGGACTCGAGGAAATGTATTATGGTATACAAGATGGCTACGATGAGTATTATGAAATATTCCCCTATAAACCGGAAAAGAAAGACGAAGACCCAGGCGTAGTTTATCCGAAGAGTGTAGAGTGTCCCATTTGCGATACGGCCACTACGTTCGATTCGAACGATAAGCTGCAAAAGCACTTGATTTCGCATATTATTATCGAGGGTAAAGACACCAAACATCAGTGCGTGTATTGCTTGGAAAAACATAACTCTGAAACGCAACTCAACAAGCACTATTCATTAATGCATCCGAAGGAGACTAAAAGTTCTAATTCACCATCATTTCGTTGTTTGTTGTGCCAGCAACGTTTCAATTCTTTGAACTTTTTGACTTCCCATTTGCAAAACAAGCACAGCCTGCTTGAATTACCCTATTGCTGCCAAGCTTGCGGTTACCGTTCATCGTCACATCGGGACATTGTCATGCATTTCTACGAGGGTCACAAACATCAAAACGTATTGCAGTGTCCGTATTGCTTGGATGTAAGTTGCGAAACACAGAAACCATTACGTGTTGGAACATATTTTTAGATTCTATCATTCTATTTATTATAGATATACCGTTTCTCTTATAAAGGAAAATTAAGTCAGAGTAATATTGAAAACTATTACATGCACTTGCGGCAACATCTAGGTAAAAGAGATGCGCAATTGAAATGCCAAAAATGCGCTTTAACGTTCATCGATAAAGGTACAAATATACCTTCGAAGGAACTTTGACATATTGATTACTTTTTTTCCGTACTTCTAGGATCTTTAAAACAACACTCGTCAAACCATCACAGCAGTTTGAGTAAAAATTCTCAAAATATACGACAATTATTAAGGAATTCTATGCTGGTACCTCCACCCAAGGTGAGAACAAGAGAGTGTTAATTTTCTCATTTTTAAAATAAAAAAAGAAAAAAAAATGAAAATATTTTAGGTACGTTCTCATCATCGTGAGCCCCTACCTTTCACCACACAATCCAAATTTGGCGAATTCTATGCGTTTATCGATGGATCTATTTGCGCTGAATGCAATTCGGAAATTATTAACGAGGGCCATTTTACGTAAGTTGATTCTTTTTTTTTTTTTGGTAAAAAATCTTCATAAGATTGCTTTTAAAGGATATAATTTTTAAAGATTCTGTAAATTTGTCCGTTAGGTGTAGTAGTATAGTCCTTAGCAAATCGTAAAAAAAAGTTCACGCGACATATGGAAAATATCCAACACATAATTCATTTTCATTGTTCAGTGAAAATGTAGACCCTAAGTAGAACATATAAAAACTAGAAATTGAAATTCGGAAAAAAAATCAATTTCGCAACTATTCATCGCTACATGATAACAAGCGTGCACGTTTACTACGGATTGGAGCATCAACAAATGAAAATCAACTTTTAGAACTTAAGTGAAATTATTTGTTGCATGCTACGAAATGAACACAAAATAAATTCTGAATAACGAAACGTTGTGCTCAAGTTGAAATATAACAAGATCATAAGTGATCATAAAATTGCAATATTCGCAGTAGCGGACCAAGTCACTAACAAAGTAAAAAATTAGAATTAAAAAAAATGTGTTTTGCGATTCGTTGAACAAAAAATTTGCACGAAAAACTCGATTGGTTGTCATTGGTGAAGGGTGTTATATCAAATCCGAATAAAAAAAGGCGTGTAAAAAAAGAGTTGTATGCATTTCATTTTGATCTATTTCCTGTATTTAATTCTATAGAATTTCGACTTTATTTTATTTCAGTGGTGTTCTAAAGTGCAATAAATGTAATTATAAAACTTGCTGCGAACGGGCCATGTTTCAACATGGCACCGATTGTAATGGCGCTGGCTCCAAAGATGTTATGGAATTGCCTTTGGCCAACGAAATGCATTGCATTTGTGGCTTTTCGACAGCTAACGGTAATAAAATGGCTCATCATTTAGCTGCTTGTGGGCATAAATCAGCCTATCCCTCATTGGAGACGGCTCAAGAAAATACCGTAAAACGTAATATGCTGGATATGTTGGGTTTGGTAAAGAGAGATGGCGAGCAAGGCAATGAAAATGATGTAAATGATAGTAATCAGCCGCAAGAAGAATCAGGCAGTGTGCAAACAGACTTATCGGTTGCTGCTGTCGACGAGAGTAATGTGACAGAAACTTTGCAACCGCCACCCGAACCTATGGATACTGACACGGCTACTTTGGCCGATGCGACACCCATACAATTCGGCCAAATGGATGCTGCTCCACAGCAACATGTTGCTGCTACAACGGCTGCTGCTGCCGGTTCTCAACACTACGCTCATATTGTGGATAATAGCAGTCACTTGCAGACGGGCCATACTCATGCCCAATATCACTTAGGTTTTGGCCAAGCTGAAGTTGCTGGACATACTTTAAATGCTGCTGATATTGATATGCCATTGATTGGCGAATTAGCTGATCCAAATCCGCCACCTACTCCCCAATTTTTGGGAGAAGTACATACACCTATGTTTGATGCGGTAGCGGCAGCCGAGCAACAACACTACCATCAACTCATGCAACAGCAGCATCTGCAGCAACATTCACATCATCATGGAGCTCAATGAAAGTGACCGAAGATGGCTAGGGATCGATCGTTTACTTTACCTTGGCAAAATTATTGAAATGAAAGGCGTTTAATTAAAAAAAATTTTCAAGAATTGACAAAAATTAACTATGAAACGGATTATATACAAAATGATAATAATGATGATGCTGAATAGAGGTTTGTAAAAATCAATGAAAGTTTTGTCATACTTTTGAAGTTTTTCCTTCCTTTTTCATCTTAAAAAAGAAAATGGTTTAAAGAAATTTAAGAAAAAACAAGTAAGAACATTGTAGTCAGGCAAGGCCGACCACCATTAAAAACCCTACACTACATTGCCTACACAATTCTTATTTTTATGAAACAACACAAAAATTATATCTTCTTTCTATATATAAAGGCATATTTTTCAGGTGCGTGCAAATTTTGTTGAGTTCATTTTTGTATGAAATTACTATAATATTATGAATCAATTTCCATCAGCACTTGTTAAAACTTAAACTTTTCCTCTCTACATAGGATCAATTTTCGTGATAATCGTTATTAAGGGTAGGGTCCAAAAAATAGGCCGAGATGGTCCAAATTTGGCGCATTTAATTTTTTTATATTAATCGTGAAGCATTGAAAATTATACCTTTCTGTCATATGAGCTTCAGTTTTCGCTATGTAGAATGCCGAAGTACTATCACTTAGCCAATTTTGCTAAGATATTTTGAAAACCATTACCATTTTCTTCCATGTAACGACTTTTCAGAATAGGACGTTGTGTGGGAAATGG